TGTTTTGAGGTTTTTCAGTCAGGGCACACTAGGTGAGGCAAAGCCTTTCTGCTAACTGCAGTCAGATAGTATGTTTCAATGTTACTACATGTGCACCTTTTTATCTGGCATAAAACTATATGCACCAGAACTGATCCCTACAACAGTAAATGAAGTGTTGTAAAAAGGAAGAAATGAGTGAAAATGTACATGATGCCGTGTGAGTCATTACTGCAGACTTGGTAGTGAAGAGAAATGGAGTTAATATAATATATTTTTCTGGAATCCTTTTTTCAGTGTAGGATATATGTGTAATGCAAGCCGCATGTTTTAAGCCTTGTTTGTTACTGACCTCTAATGGCAGATATATTCATTGTTCTAAGCCCCAGTCTAGGCTGCTCGTTCAAAGACCATTGCATCAGGAACTACTTAAAACTGTGGTTAGCTCCAGTGCCATTATGAAGTGCAGAGCTCTTTGAAAAAGACAGCAGACATTTTTTTAATGATTACTGGGTGTTTTAGTATTTGGGATTGGGCTATCCATTGAGTCATATGTTAACTGTGCCATGAAATGTGGCCTAAAATACTTGGTGTATATCATGAGGCACTTTAAAACAGAAATCACAACACTTGCGCTAAGCAATAAAAAATGAGTCCTTCTTACCTGATGGATTTGTGGTCAAATCAAACACCTACAATTGAAACAATATCCTGCTCCTTAACTGATGGTCTGGCTTTAAGGTTAAACCTGATGATTTAATTAGTTTGAGAGAAAAAACAAATGGCATGGCCCAGATAACCATTTTAGTACACATACATTTATATATCCATGTTAGGTTGTTTTATTTTAAAGTTCCTGTCCATCCAAAAGTGATATTTTAGCAACAGGAGGAGTCTGGTAGGCCGATACAGCCCTTGGCTTCTTATAGGTCTTAGATATTTTATGATTTACTCTGTCATAACTCCTTCCTCTAATCTTGAGGAATTTTGAAAGTTCTCACCAACCTTTGTGCATGCATCTCCTATTGTATTTTTTTTATAATAACAAAATAATTACAAATCAAACACATAGGTATGGAACCTCTCAATGGCCACAGCTGGAGTGCTGAACTAGTAACTCAAGCACACCAATACAGTCTCCAAGGCGTTCTCTCCATTTTTCGACTATGTTTTGGATGGTCTGACCTTTTCACTACTCATTAAACATGATGACAAAGAGCAGATAATTGTTAGGCCTCATTTACAGGGGTGTACTATAACATATGCCCATGCGAGGGCCATGTTTGATCACAAGGGAATGCACAGTTGTTCCATGCATCCTCTTGCAGGCAGTCCCATTCATTTCAGTTGGGACACAGTGGCTGCCCGTACACAGCTGCAGCCCCCAATTTGATGTCAGAATTTGGGTCTGTGCATCTACACTCACATAAATAGGACTGTCTGTACCGAAAAGCATTCGACGCCTGTGCATCCCTGTGTGGGCAAACAAGTCCCTCATGTGGGCACATGCTCTAGTACGGCTGTGTGAATGAGGCCTAACCAATTATTTGGCTTGTGTCATCATGCTTAATGTGTAATTAAAAGGTCAGTCCATCCCAGGGGCGGACTGACCATTTGAGCACTTGGGCACTGCCCGAGGGCCTGGGGTCAGTAGGGGGCCCCATAAAATGCCCCTGGTACCTTTTTTATAGGCTTTTTTGAGTGTAGGCAAGGACACAGGGGCCCCATGATCCCCTATTGCCCGGGGGCCCCATGAGTTGTCAGTCCGCCCCCTGGTCCATCCAAAACATAGATGAAATGGAGATAACACCTGATAGTTTCTTATATGTTTTAGAGACTGTATAGGTGCACTTGAATTTCTAGTTCAGCACAACAACTCTTTTTTAAGTACTTCTCTATGTTTCATACCTTTTGGATTGCTTTTTCATTATTACTAATGTAGTCAACACTACAATGCTGTTTTAAATTAGACCTGGATCTGACCCACATTAGTAAACCATTTTAAACACCAAGGGGGTGTTAATATGCTTTTAGCTTTCTTGGAATCATGCTGCTTGTACCTTGAAGGACTCTGTATTTTTAAAATTATTTATGGGATAGGGATTTTGTTTTGTGCACATTTATTTTTTTAATTGTTTGCAATAAAATTGTGACATTGGGGCTAAATCACTAAAATTGGAGAGTGTGCAACATCTGGTACAGCTGTTCAAAGAACCCAATCAGCTTCATGGTTTTATTGCAAAAGCTTAACTGAACAAGTTGACATTAGAAGCTGATTGGCTACCATGCACAGCTGCACCAGATTTTGCAGTTTTGACTGATTATGCTTAAACTGAAAGTTGTGTGTCCCTGGAAAGCACATTCCTGGTGGTGGAGTCCCTACATTTTCCTGGATCAGAGAAATGTCAAAAGTCCTTATCTGCACACCTTTTCAGGTTAGTATTGCATGGGAGCCACGAAACAAGCGTTTCAGAACCAAGTCAGCAATAGTAGTCCTCATGTTTTAAAGAAAAAGTTTACATTATTTCTAGCTTAAAGTGTAAGAGTGTGTTTAGTAGAAGTATGCTTAACCCCCTTGCCCCCTTAACAACTACCCTCAGCTTTAATTTACTAAAAATCCCCCCCTTTCTCCACTGCTACTTATCTTGGGGGGCAGCCAGGGCTTGAATGCTGGCCACTTTTGCTCCATTGTCCTTCATACAGCCATTTCCAAAATTCCAGATTTTTTTTTTTCTACTAAAAAACATACCTGTTCTTTATGATTACTTTGTACTAAGATTTACCAATGCAAAGTGACTATAAAATGTTAAAGCAGAAAACAAGTTCCACTTCATTCATATAGTTAATAGTATCATTTATTCAGGGATAAATTCATATTTCAGTTTTGAGTGATATGGGATAAAGGATGGCAGGAAGGGGTTAATGGAGCACCCACTTCCAGTATATAAGGCTAATCCTATTCTGATCAACTCAAGTAAACCAATGATATCCTTTCTTCCTTCCTGGTCCCCAATAGGAACACTATTATGTAGCATGTTTGAGAACATGAACAAAGGAGAATCCCACATTCTGGTTAAGTCAAACCTTTTCAGATTGCCCATACGTACAAAACAATTCCTACACTTCTACTCACTTCATCCTATGCTGTGACCAATAGCACATGGTGAATTGTTCAGAGAGAAAAACCAAAGGCAGTGGTGCATGCACAACAGGAAACAGGATAAGCAGCTAAGAGAAGACAGGGTACATGGAAAGTGGACCTGTCTTTTCCAAAAGGGTCATGGATCAAAGGCATAATAGGCTAAGCCAGTGTGATTTAGTTACTATGTGTATGATAAAGCTGAGGTTTTTTTTTTTTGTCAACATTACAATAACCAAAAATATATTTTCTGTCTGGAAACTAAGCAGGTGTGACAGAGTGCTGTAAAGTAAGAATGCTGTAAAAAAAAATTTTAATCAATTTATGAAATGCAAAAGTGAGCAAACAAACGAAAATTCAAATCAATATTTGGTCTTTTGAAGAAGCACAAAGAAATGGTCAACTCTGAGGGCCATAGGTGTAGTGGTCAGCTAATGAAACTTAATGCACCAGATGAAAGACATATCATACTTTCTTCCCTTGAACATTGGAAAATACTTCTCTTGGAAAATGTCCATCAATGCCAACATTACAGAACTGGCAGAAACCAGTGGGATCCAGGTACACCCATCTACGATCCGGAGAAGTCTGACCAGAAGTGGTCTTCAAGGAAGAAATGCAGCCAAAAGCCATAAATCCAAAGTGGAAACAAGGATAAATGACTCAACTATGCATGAAAACAAAGAAACTGGAGTGCAGACAAATGGCAGCAGGTGCTCTGGATTGATGAGTCAAAATCTGAAATATTTGGCTTTAGCAGAAAACAGTTTGTTATCGAAGGGATGGAAAGTGTACAATAATGAGTGTCTGCAGGCAACAGTGAAGCATGGTGGAGGTTCCTTGCACGTTTGGGGTTGGATTTCTGCAAATGGAGTTGGAGATTTGGTCAGGATCAATGGTGTCCTCAATCCTGAGAAATACAGATAGATACTAATCTATCATGCCATACCATCAGGGAGGCGTGTAATTGGCCCCAAATGAATTCTTCAGCAGGATAATGACCCCAAACATACAACCAATATCATTAAGAACTATCTACAGTGTAAAGAAGAACAAGGAGTCCTGGAAGTGATGGTTTTTGCCCCCACAGAGCCCTGATCTTAACATCGTCGAGCCTGTCTGGGATTATATGAAGAGACAGAAAGATTTGAGGCAGCGTACATCCACAACAAATCTTTGGTTTGTGCTCCAAGATGTTTGGAACAACCTACCAGAAGAATTGAAACGGTTTTCAAGGCAAGGGGTTGTAGGGTGGTCACACCAAATATTGATTTTTATTTTAGATTTCTCTTCTGTTCATTTACTTTCCATTTTGTTGATAAAAAAAAATAAACTATGAACACTTTTGTTTCTGAAAGCAGTCTTAATTTACAGCATTTCTTCACAACTGCCTATACTTTTTGCACAGTACTGTATATATTTTGTTTTCAGTTATGAAAAGATCAATGCGGAAAGGATCAATACGTTTATTTTCTAATAACAAGTAAAAATGTCAGCAATATATTAAAGATAAAAAAAGAATATCCTGCGCCACCAATGTGTGGCATGTATTCAGTGAAAAAATGTGTAACGAAACAATTAAGTTAATTGGTAAAAAACTGATTTAAGTGTGGCTACAAACAATAAAGTATTCCCATAATGAAAATATTGATCCAACAATGTGTAATGCTGCACCTCCCCAAAAACACCTTACAAGAAAACCAATATCACATTAAACATTAAAATAATTATCAACAATAAGTGAACTGTCACCTTGTATCCAAAACCAAATATCATATAATGTCCACAAATCAAATGCTCATTCTTCAACAAGATGTGCTGCTTTATTATCTTCCGTGGTGACCATATAATATAGTGAACCACCTCCAATGACTTTGTGAGCATGCATACCGTGTATCCACTACCATTCAATCCTGCGTCCCTCAGCACGGTCTTATGATCAGCTGTGTCCAATCACAGCTGATCGCATGTAAATAGGGAAATGCCAGTTATCAGCATTTCTCTCCTCATGAGCTGTCACACTGACAGCTCGAGAGGAGAGCCGGTAATCAGCATTCCTTGGAGGGGACATGTACACTAATCATCAGGGCACTGATGATCAGTGTAGCCCCAGCAGTGCCACCTGTCAGTGCCCATCAATGCCAACTGTCAGTGCTCATCAATGCCAGCTGCTAGTGCCCATCAGTGCCTCATTAATGCCACATATCAGTGCCTACCAGTGCACATCAATGCCACATAACAGTGCCCATCTGAGCTGCCTTTTAGTGTCACCTATCAGTGCCAGACAGTGCCACCTATCAAATCCAGTCAGTGCCTCCTATCAGTGCCAGCCAGTGCTGCCTATCAGTGCCAGTCAGTGCCACCTATCAGTGCGCATCAGTGCCGCCTATCAGTGCCCATCAGTGCTGCCTATCGGTGCCGCCTAACAGTGCCAGTCAGTGCCAACAGTGCCAGTCAGTGCCGCCTATCAATGCCAGTCAGTGCCGTCTATCAGTGCCGCCTATCAGTGACATATATGAGTGCTGCCTTTCAGTGCCCTTCAGTGATGCCTGCCAATGCCCATCAGTGCCACCTATCAGTGCCCATCAGTGCAGCCTATCAGTGCCCATCACTGCAGTCTCATTAGCGCACATCAGTGAAGGAGAAAAATCACTTATTTACAAAATTTTATAACAAAAACTAAGAAAAAACATTTTTTTTTTCAAAATTTTCTGTTGTTTTTGGTTTGTTTAGCAAAAAATAAAAATCCCAGAGGTGATTAAATACCACCAAAAGAAAGCTCTAGCTATCTCAAAAAAATGATAAAAATTTCATATGGGTACAGTGACCGTGCAATTGTCATTCAAAGTGCGACAGCATTGAAAGCTGAAAACTGGCCTGGGCAGGAAGGGGGAATAAGTGCCCTGTAGGCAAGTGGTTAATCACCTCCTCTCCTCCTTACGGGCTCCCATCAGTTTTATTTTTCCTTCCATGGGTCATTCACTGGTATACTATTTCCAGGTGTCTGGCCCTTTAAAAATGCACTCCCCTTCCTATAGTGAGCTCACACACAGACCAGTATCCCCACAGAGCAGTCTTTATAAAAAATGTGGTGTAGTAATTATGTACTAATTTGGTAAATGACAGAAACGATTCCATAAAAACAGAGTATGACAATATAGCAGCATCAGGTATGTATAAACGACTGACCATCCAGACAGCAAGATGGCCGCCGGGCCTCCATGTGGCACCAGCAGTGTGAAGTCACGACGTCCTAGGCTCCACCACGTGGAGGTCCGGCGGCCATCTTGCTGTCTGGATGGTCAGTCATTTATACACACCTGACGCTGCTATATTGTCATACTCTGTTTTTATGGAATTGTTTCTATCATTTAATAAATTAGTACATAATTACTACACAATGGGCACTTTCCTTGGTCTCCCTTGAGGAGCTTTGCTATTTTCAGAGCCCTGCTGTGATCCAGTTACCAGCCCACCAGACCCAGAGAGGGAAGCACCTGTAATTCAGGAATCTTCACCCACCTATCCCTTAAAGGGGACCTCTGGCCTACTGGATCCATCCATACCCACAGAGGGCTATTTATCCATACAAGTCGAAGGAGAACCCACCCAGAGTTCCAGTCCGGACCTAGACCAGTGAAGTGGACCCGCATGATTTATACACTGCGTAATTCTATTACGCTTCTGGTTAGTGCGCATTTTTTACCTTGCTACAGGGAGCACCACCACTGGACTGGAAGCTGCATATCACTTTATATTCATTATAAAAACTGTCACGGGTTTTTTTCTTATCATTGGGGACATTTATACTATATGTTACCATTATTTATTGATTAGTGCTGCACATATATATTTCTATACGATTGTGACAAGGCTTTTCTTTGGTTTCCTTGGATGTCCAGCTGCTTACTTTACAAGAGCGCTCACTTTTATTGCTATTGATTTCTTTTCCTGTTTTGGCTATGGGACAGGAAGTGAAGGGAAATCTCCCCAATGGGACACAGATGGCATAAAAGGGGTTATCACCCTCTCTTCATCAAAAATGAAGAAAAGGTTTTGCCTTTAGTTACAATTTAATGATAGGTCCACTTTAAACGGTGGGGTGTAAAGCAATGTTCCATTTTTGGGTGAATCAGATGAAAGTAAACTCCCACCCCCTCTCAAATGTTACTTGAATTTAAACCCCTTCGTTGTAATAGGTGTGCACAAGGCTGAGGCATTATATACATCAAAAACATTTCAAACACAAAATGGCAAAATTGAGCATGTGATTTACTTCTGAGTTTATCAGCAAGCATGCTCTGTAGGGCATTCTGTATTTCATAAGTACATTATTTAAAAGAAAATTAATAAATGCCTGGATGGTGTTCAGTGACAAGGGAAAGGAAAAGTCAGAGCAGGAATTTTTTTTTTTAATAAAAATGTCAATTCTCCAATGTAACAGCATCTGGATTTAATTTTTCTAAATAAAAAGTCAAATATTGCAAAAACAATTTTGCTGTAGTGGTTTTAATATCAAACTTTGAAGGTGAACGGTGCTTATTAATATAAATTAATGAGGATACATGCGTAATAAATACAAAGGAAATAATCTATTTAGATTATATATAAATTAATAAATGAATTTTTGCATATTGTTGTTAAGCTGTAGGGAAGTCAGGTTAACTGAGGCTGCTGCAATAATGAACGAGAATACATTTCTATCAAAAAGAGTAATTGCCTTTAAATCATAACAAAGTTTGATTTCAAAGTGAATTTTTACTCTTAGATGAGTGGGTGTTAACGGAATACATTATGGACCTCCATTTTCACAAACTTGTGAACGGGATACAGAAATTATGGCGGTACAGCTTTAAACATGGGCATTATATTGGAACTAGAGTATACTATATCAAAATAAAAGAACGGAACTCAGTCCCCTCAGTGCCAAAGTACTTTGGCTTTTGTGATATATAGTAAAATATAATGTGTGATTTTATTTTAATTCTTAGAGACATCAATATTTTACAGATGAAGAAAGTAAAGGAGTGAATCTGGATGTAGATGAGAGAAGTGGCTAAAGGCTGAAGTTAGTCTTGGTGACCACTAATTGCTTGAAGAAGCCATTACTCTCTCTCTCTCTCTCTCTCTCTCTCTCTCTCTCTATATATATATATATATATATACAGTATATACATACACTATTTTGCCAAAAGTATTGGGAGTACTGCCTTCACACTCTCATGAACTTTAATGGTATCCCAGTCTTAGTCCGTAAGGTTCAATATTGAGTTGGCCCACATTTTGTAGCTACAGTATAACAGCTTCAACTCTTTTGGGAAGTCTGTCCACAAGTTTTAAGGGTGCGTCTATGGAAATATTTGATCATTCTTTCAGAAGCTCAATTTGTGAGGTCAGGCACTGATGTTGAATGAGAAGGCATGGCTCACGGTCTCCGCTCTAATTCATTCCAAAGGTATTCTATCAAGTTGAGGTGCAGGCCAGTCAAGTTCCTCCACCCCAAACTCACTCATCCATGTATGGACCTTGCTTTGTGCACTGGTGCGCAGTCATGTTGGAACAGGAAGGGGCCATCCCCAAAGTTGGGATGGTGAAATTGTCCAAAATGTCTTGGTATGCTGATACCTTAAGAGTTCCCTTCACTGGAACTAAGGGGCCAAGTCCAACCCCTGAAAAACACCCCCACACCATAATCCCCCCTCCACCAAACTTTACACTTTGTATAATGCAGTCAGGCAAGTACTGTTCTCCTGGCAACCGCCAAACCCAGACACATCCATTGGATTGCCAGACACATCATGCCAGAGAACATATCTCCACTGCTCTAGAGTCCAGTGGCTGCGTGCCTTACACCAATGCATCTGACTCTTTGCATTGCAGTTGGTGATGTAAGGCTTGGATGCAGCTGCTCAGCTATGGAAACCCATCCCATGAAGCTCTCTACACACTGTTGTTGTGCTAATCTGAAGGCTGCATGAAGTTTGGAGGTCTTTAGCTATTGACTCTGCAGACAGTTGGTGACATCTGCGCACTGTGAGCTTCACGGTGCCACTCTTCAATTCATTGAGCTACTGAGAGCTAAAGGCTGGGTAGCAGCCTGGAGTGAGTCAGCCCAGGAGCAAGGTAGTGAATTCCCTGTAGGCCAGACCAGGAGGTTCTACAGATCAGGACTTCTGGGGAGAGTCCCAGGAGGTAAGCTCTGGTTGCGGAAAGGGAGGATCTTCACTGTTCAACTGTCTCCTTGGAAGGACAACCTGTGTAGAAGGGAAGGAGCCAGCCCAGCATAAGGCCTGAATACAGCCACTTACCCACCAAGCTTACATGACAGGACAGTGTGAGTACTTTTACACACCCTGGGACAGGTAAGGGGAGAGGGCCAAATAGTTCTCATCTGGGAATACTTCATTGTTAGCTCTTGGGACCCCTTGGCCAGGGATACCCTCAGTGCAGCTGATTATAGAAGAGGATTCATCCAGGGTCTGAGGAGACATCTGTGGGGACATCAAGGCGACATCTGTGCTCCTTAAAAATATGGTGCTATTTTTTGTGGCTCTACATTTTGTACAGTGTACAGGATGCTAAGAAGTTTGTCCTCAAGTTTGCAGTTCCTTGGGCATCCCATAAACCCCTAGACCCCACCCAAGGTTTTAACAAAACAATAATAATAAAAACAACAAAAAAACAGCTCAAGGACTATTTACTGACTTTGAATGTGCAAGTGTAGAAATGTGTGTTGCCTAGTTGTAGGGACATCTTCAAGGCAGGGCAAAAGGGCCAGTTTCCCTGGGCCCAGTCATTTTTGTGGGGCCCAAAGCAGCTGCACATATTTGCCAATTGTCCCTGTTTACATACTCTTGTCCTCCTCCAGTCCTGATATCTCACTGTGAAGTACTGTCACTTATACTGCCCAGCTCTGTCCTCTTGCAGTGAACAGATGACCCACAGCATCATGTCTGCATTCACATGCAAATAACCAGCATTGATATGTAAATAGCAATGGTATTCATATGTAAATAGTGGTGGCATTGATATATATGTAAATAATGGTGGCATTCATAAGTATATCATACCCCCTGAGGTTTCATCCACCATCACCTCTGCTGAATGCTGCCCACTGGGGGGTACACATGCTTGAAAGTCCTGCCTGCAACTGTGGTCATTGAGCCTACCATCAGCCTCTTCTGCAAAGGTAAGCAAAGTGGTGCGGGTGGGGTGTGAAGAGGTAGGCAGAGAAGGAATTACAGTTTGTTGTGCACAGGTGAGCAAGGAGGGGATGTACAGAGGTAAGGAAGGTGGGTGCATAGGTGAGCACAGTTAAGGTGGGGAGGGTAGAGTGGAGAGGTGCGGAAAGTTTGGAGTGCAGAGGTTACCAATCAGTGA